GTCCGAGCAGCGTTGATGCTTTCTAGCGTACTACCTCCTCGACTTGGCTGACATGTTTTCCTCTAGTTGTGTGAGTTTTTCTTTTCCTTAACGAGACAGGCATACTTCACGTGTTGATTGAAATAGATTTGGATTCATTTGGTTCATTAAGCCTTGATTTCGATTCTCGTTATGAATGTCGTTTCGAATTACAAAATCTTCGAGACAAAGTAAATCAGATCAATCATCCTCCACGAGTGAAGGTCGTAACTGTCCCTAGTAGTGCCGATATAGGGTCCCACCATGCATCTTCAGTTGTGTTAGTTGTCCATGCCAGGAGGTCTTGCTGATGGTCATGATCATCAGAAAGAGTTACAGGAGTTAATCGCGGCCCTACGAAAGGAGCTCACTGACTTACGCCTAGAAAATGCTCAACTCAAATCTACCATACTTTCTAAATCGACTGCTACTCCTATAGATGCAACTCCTACCACTCCTTTGTCTACTCCGGTTCGGCCTCTGAGTATAAGTATCCGTCTGCGGGTGCATTTCGTGTATGCATCTCCTATGGTCTTGACTGATAGCCTCGGCACTACTGTTGTGAAAACTCTTCATCAGCTTGGAATTGTACCGGAGTACCTTCAACTAGAAGAGGCCTTTAGACTCTCTTCAGATGTTCCTATAGACAATCGGGCAGGAGGAAGTAATAGTAATAATAATAATAGTAGTAGTAGTAGTAGTAGTAGTAGTAGTAGTAGTAGTAGTAGTAGTAGTAGTAGTAGTAGTAGTCGTAGCAGTAGTAGTAGTAGTAGTAGTAGGGGTAGTAGTAGTAGTAGTAGTAGTAGTAGTAGTAGTAGTAGTAGCAGTAGTAGTAGTAGTAGTAGTAGTAGTAGTAGTAGTAGCAGTAGTAGGGGTAGTAGTAGTAGTAGTAGTAGTAGTAGTAGTAAAGTATCAGGTAGGATGCAAAACGGTCTAGGTACAATACCATGGATCAGACGAATATATGGTCAGTGCGCTCTCACGGCGGGAACGCCCAGCGGTCTCTTGCAACTACGGCAAATTCTCTATGAAGAAAAGGCGAGGTAGTATCTTAGGTTCAACTAGTAAAGATACAAATTAGGCCCACGATGATACCATTTTGCCCCCAACGAGAATCTTCCATACTTCAGATTACCAACTCCGAATAACCCACGACAGCACATACCAATCGTCCACTTATCGATGCATGCTCTCGAAATGGTAGTAGCTGGCAAGAAAGCTACTAGATGTATTCTAGAGGTAATCTCATCATCATCATCATCACTGCTCTAACCCTTAGTCCACCTGATTCAGGATGGAATCGGCAAGGCTCATTTGGTAGAAGCGGACGAGCTCGGCAAACTGCTGGGATTGGACAACAACAATATGCTTGTATTCATAAACGCTTGCAAGTAGTACATGATGTGCCTTAGCCGTCCAAAGTGTGTTGGAATATGTCTTTGGTTCTCCTCGGTATATTATGAACATTTGTACTCAGCCTGTGGTAAAATGAATATGAATGTCTCACACGCGGAGTTGACGATGTGGATCTCATTTCGGCGTTGAGTAGAATGAGTATTATGAATCTAGGGGGGTTATTAATACGCTTGGTTGACTTTATTCCTCAGATCTGAATCTGTCGGTGAAGTATTCGCCTCCCATTTTGGTGTCAAACACGTCGTGTGCATCGGTCACGAGGCGGCTATACTAGACGTAGCTGCTACCCTTTTCACTCAAGTAGGACACTACTAGTGCTCCCCAAACTTGCTACTTTTCCACAGGAGTTCTATGCTGCATTATTATGTCCTACCGTCACCATCCAACACGCCTTCAATCGGGCTAGGCATGCTGTTAAGGTAAATGACTCCTTACAGAAATGTCACTATTTTCTGTGATGTAGTTTTCTGCTAATCCCAAGATCGCCTCCCAGTACACCCTATTTCACCTCCTCCCGGAAGGAGGAGACCATGACGTGCCGGTGTGGGCAACTTCAGCGTCAGATAACAAGTCCTTGTCAACGATGGGAAATGCGATGCGATACTATCCCTCTAGTATGCTCAGCTCGGAGAATGATTTAACGAGAGGAAATCAAGGTGAGGCCTCTTCCGGACCTCATCTGAATCTTACTCGGTCAACCTCAGGATACTCTTTCGACCGCAACTTGCGCCCAGTAGCAGTTCGATGCATCCCTGCGGAAGCCGCTGATTCGGATGATGACGATGAAGGAGACACTCCAACTCAAACGCCCTTCCAGTTGACCGAGAAACCATCAGTGCCGCTGGGCTCGAGCAATCTCGGCATCGAAGGTTCCCCATTGGAAAACGCAGCGCCGGTCGAGGACTTCCTAGGTTATACGGGCATGACGAGTATAGTGGAGTTTCACCACCCTAGTGATATGTAAAACATATTTCACGACTACTGCATATCACCGCGAATATCACCGCGTTTTCTACAGAGTATTACGACGCCACTTCACGTAAAACGAGTGAACTCCAGTGGAAGCTCATATCAGTGGAGTTTCACCCGTGATATGAAAAAAAAATTTCACAATTCACTTCGCGAAAAGTAATTATGGAATGGAAAAGCGCGTCTTAAATTTAAATGGAGTATTATGCCACTTCACGGCAAACGGGTGAAACTCCAGCGTTAGCATATTTGTTCGCGTTTTTGGGTAGCAGTGTACGAAAACCGATAGGAATTTTCACATTATCACCAACACATGTAGTTGAGCATTTGCATATCCCCCCTATACTGTTTTATATTATCCTAGGAGCTGTTTTTGTGGTGCAGGGCGAGACATAGACATAGTTCGGCTATGCTCTATACTACATACTCCTCGTAACAGGAGAGTAGTGGCGGTTACAGGGCCTTCTGGTTCTGGCAAGAGGACTCTGGTAACACAAACGGCTATGTATTATTCACTTCCGGGTGGGAGGTGAGTCGGGACGCAAACTGCTGCGGAAATACATGTCTATGAGAGGGAACAAAGTGATGGCAAGTTATGTACTGTGCTGAATCAACTCACTCGTGAGAAATTAGTGACACGTTATGGATGCTTCTCCTTGGTTTCTGAGGTCGTACGGGACAACTATAATTTTTAGCAGTAACTGCCGATGAGGAAGATGGATATACATACCTAGATGACATCATAGGAACACTACGAGTTCGGGCTGCCTTAATGCTGTCGTTCTCTTCCTCTCCAAATTCGTTTCACTTCGCGTTTTTGCAGTGGGGTATTTCGTGTCAGATTACCGAAGCCTCTTGCGCCTACTGCCAAATAGCATGCAGCACTACGCGATTAGTTCATTTTATCGTGATATGGTGGAGACGCTTTTTATGAATATTTCGCTTTTCTCTACTGGTGAAATTCGTTTTCTGCATATGAAACTTCATAGTGTATCATCACCGCTTGAGCCATGTTGCGGGTGTTCGCAGGTTCTTTTCTGGCGGGGCATGCGTGGTCCTCTTACCAAGATTATGGCCTATGGAGAATACAAACGTACGTACATTGCGGAATAATCGAAATAATAAAAACGCGGTACTCTCGAGCTGCTGCTGTCGTGTTTGTGACGAGGTCGATTCAGTTACCGAAGTTGTATGTGCAAGGGGACGGTGCAGGAGGTGAAAATGATTCATTGACTGCCTCGGAGGTCGCCGATAGATTCATACGGGTTGTGATGAAGGAAATACGGACTACGGTGATAGGGTGGAGTCGGCCACGTTGGCGAAATATGGTGAACAGGAAGTAGATGATAGCTTCTAATTTTAATTGCTGTGTGGAAATCAGAATCGTTGGCCCGAGGCCGTAGTTGCAGTGATTAATAAGAAGGTACGGGGTGATATGATGGTATTTAGATTCGGTTGCTGAAGGAGTGGTATCCACCACAAACCCGTAGTACAATGCCAGACGAGTATGAGGAAGATGAGGAAGAGTTGTTTGCTGATGACGAGGAGGGTCTTTCTTCAACATCACATGGCCCTACGTTGACTGGAAAACGCTCTCCTGCTGTTGGTGGTGGTGGAGGAGGAAGCCTCAGCGATAACGGTAGCGTTGCATCGACAGCTTCCTCTCCTACACTGTCGCGACATACTAGTGGGATACCGGCAGCACCTGGGCCACTGCCACCCTTGGCTCCAGCGAAGCGAAGTGAGTGTTATTATGGTGGGATTTGACGGAAGGGTGGTATTAGATATGACCATATCGCATTCAAGTGGATCGCTAACACCACTCGAGCGAACGTCTGTGAATCGATCGATATCTTCGGCACATTATGCTGAGAAGGAGAGTATAGAGGAGTTGGAAATGGAGCTGTTTGGAGTTGCTACGAGGAGTGAGCGTAGGTCCCGGGTTCGATCCCTGGTGAGGTCATCTCAGGTGGTATGGGTGCGGCAGGAGGTCTCGGCACTCGGGGCTATAAGGTCTTCTTATCAGAGCAGTTTGCAGATGCCTCTGCACTGGAGCAGTTCTTGAAGGGATATAATGTAGTAGATGTGGGGAATTTACGGTACGAAAAAAGATTTGGAGAATTCACTGATGATTCGTGAATATTAAATATACTAGGCCTTCGTGACGAAGGGGCGGAGCTCATTAGTCCACGTTTATTGATTAGATCAATGAATTTTACATAGGTCCCCGGTTCGATCCCCGGGCAGGACATTTTTCCGTCATTAAAGGTTTTCGTGCATATCTCGTCGAGCTGTTCGTATAATCGAGTTTTCCGATTTTTACCTACACCTCGGCATCCAGAGAAGTCGTTTGATCTATCTGGTAGCTTCCTACGCTTCGTAGTTAAGCCAGAATAATTCTGCACGCACGCACAACGCGAAAGTGCCGGTTGTTGCGGTATATGCTCCGCTCCGCAATGATAATGAAATATTGCTATTCATAGTTTCTATTTTAATATTGGTTGATTTGAAGATGAATGTGGTATCGATTTTCGCGTACGTTTATGGAGTTTTCCGAATTCGTAACTTTGAATTTTCGTGCCTCTTACTCGCGTGTGGTCAATATAAAGGAAATCGTAATATTCTGCGCTAGTGAGATTCGAACGAAGAGTGGTAATATACAGGTTCCTCCAATTCCAGTTAGCCGATTGTTGAAGGAGCTCAGAGAGAATGGGACTCAACTGCAGGATTGGGGTGGGCGGCGACGGTCTGTGTTGGTGTTGAAATGAGCATGGGTGTTTCCTCACTACTGTGGTTTGAAAATTTCACACGCGATTTTTACGGTAGAAATTTACCAAAATGTGCAGAAATTGTATAGAATCTTCATCGTAGTTTTTTTATTGTCAGCGAAATTGAGTTGTCGGGGATGCGGTATTTGGTAGGTACGGGTAGGCTGGTACGCGTAGTGCATGTTGTGCGATGTATGATATCTGTTGCTGATGAAATGGAGCAGCGAGAGGAGATCGAAGATGTTGAGGGTGAACATAAGAAAGCGTAAGAGGGCACATTGGGTTCGGGCGGGGCGATGGTGAAGATGCGATCAGACGGTGTTTGGTTGAGAGAAGGATTACTGATGGGAAGCTGAAGTTGTTGTCGAAAAAATTCGATCCCGTGACGGAAAACGTGTTGGAGGTGTGTTCTGAGGCTGTGAAGAAAGAGATAGCGCATTCAGTTTCGGATGTTAGTGTTAGAAAGGTAATGATCATGAGTAGGCGGAGCGAAGCGATTTTTGTTGTGCATTTTTGTATAGGTGGTAATGCGTAACCGCAAGCCTCTGGTGGAGCTCGAGAGGAGTAGTCCGACGTATGAGGGGTTGGCAACGAAATATGTGTTGTATACTACTGAAGTAGGAGGGGTAGTTGGTGAGGAGTATCATAGGCTTGCGACGGTGTTTTAGGTCCTACTGGACGGACTGCCGTCTGGAGTAGAGGAGTTTGAGACCACTGAGGCACCCGTGTCGGGGGGAAATGCGAATAGTAGTGACTGGGCTCTTGAGAATGGACATAAGAGCAGCCCGAGAGTTCATCATTGGGAGTGGCTGGATAGAGATTGTGCGGAGGACCTGTTCTTAAGGGAGGGTCATGGAGAAGGTGACGTCAGCGCTCGCCATTGTAATCGATATAGTGGTGAATGATGTGTTGTCAGCTGCCGCTGCGGGAGAGCAGAAGAGTTTGTTTGGGGCGCCGTCAGCCCCTCAACAATCATTGGAGTTGGAGTTGGCCTCGGGTGTGGCAAGGCAAGTGAGGGGAGAGCATGCTAAGGGGACAGCTATGTCCAAGGTGGAGGCGGCGACTAAGAGATTACAGGTAGAATGTAGTGCGGTGTCACTTGGCTCGAGGTCGGGTCTTCCCAGTGCTAACTCAAGAGTGTCGTGATACTAACTATAATAGAGCTACTATAAACGTCATAAACCGATAATCCCGGAACGGCGGCACGTGTACTAAGCGTTGGGGGCTCAACCTATGCGTGCCGCCAGCGAAGCGATCGATGTCATGTTTGTGGAAAGAGAGTTTGTCTGCAATGGAGGAGCCCTTCCGATGCAGGCTTGGTGCAGTAAACCCAACTGCAGTAGGGTTAACGATAGGGTACTGTTGTGTGTGTTACTCGACATAGACGTGTTAAGGGTACTCGATGTAAAATAAGTAATATTTGCGATATGAAGTGAAATGAAAACATAAGGCCAGTTGCATCGGACAAATGAGCCCATTTCACGCGAAATACATCAAGTGTTTCACGCGCGGTTTGCTGCTTCCAAGTGTCACTCGCGAAGTGAAATGTGGAATATTAGTGTTTTTCATATCACGGGTAAGACTCCGTTCATATTGTGTCATTTCCAATAAGGAATAATGGTTAGGATACGTTGTTTTTTCAGCGAACACGTCACGAATGGGCCCGAGCTATGCGAGAGTGGGCCAATGTAACGGACACTATGAACAGGTTAGTAATAGGAAATAGTCTTACAGTAGAGGTGATTGCTCTTTAGTGCGCGGTCGCCGTCCTCATCTGTATTGGTGTTGTTGCGGGCAGAATGTTATATGCCTATACCAGAGATAAGGCAGCTACTTGGGCAGGCACTGAGCAAGCATAGGAATCTCAAGGTGAGTTGTGGTCGAGTAGTGGTGTTCATGACAATTAGGAGTAAGAGAATTTTCGGAGATTTTTGTAGACTTTTACTGTAAATGTGAGAAATTTTTCGCGGAGGGAATTTTTCAACTCGGTAAAGGGCCAGACATGTGATAATGAATATATTCAGATAATAGTGACTATGGAGGATGGTACCACACCTTCCGAAATTGCTATTCGAGATCAAGCACTAATGCAGCCGATTCAGGCGAGTGATTTGCAGTTGGGCATTCCAGTTCGGTACGTTCTCTGTTTAGACGATGTCAGTAGCGTATAAGGTAGTGTGCTTCCGACTACCGCCTTTGCAGCCGCTCGATGCGGCTATGCTTTTTGCGAGAAGAGTTCATAGGTGAGTTGCTATCATAGTGGTAGATGGAAAAAGGAAATGATGGAACTTTTTGTTGGGAAATTCTTGTGGGGTTCGCCGAGCCGTATTTGATGTTGGACTGTGTTTTTATGACGTAGCGAGGGGAGTGTCTCCCAAGTTGGGAGTCCCAACACTGTTGGAGGTACCATTAACGTTGAGGAGAAATGTGTGTTGCTGTAGACCCATATATGAAGCTGATATTCGTATTACAACTACAACCATGTTGGAAGAATTTGACGCTGCTGGAGGGGAGAGGACAGGCACTGATACTGTAGTACTGTTCGGGGGCGCGCGAGATGTTCGTATGTTCGTTACTCTGGTAGTCTGTAGTTTATGGGGAAGTTGTGGTATTAGCTTAACTCCGTGATATGTCATTTTGGCATCATTGATATTTCTGGCAGAGAGTATTATGTCTCAACGACTCGCAGTCAGAGGGATTGGGTAACTTGGCGCGATTAGCAAAGCATCCGGTGCTGGTCAGGCTTGGGGGGAATCCTGGACGGATAATCAAGGTGGTGCTGTGCTAAGTTGTATATGGTGTTTGATTTGCACTTATTAGGTTGCGGCATTGGTTGGGCCACAAACTCCGACTATTCTCCATATAATGCCGGCAGTTCGCGAGCTGTTGGGCTTTGGAGGAAACAAGGAGCATGGGGAGGAGTCGACTGAGATGAGAAAAGCGGGGGGAACTCCAGGGAAGAAAACGGTGGAGGAACTCCCCCAGCGTACGGGGTGAATGCGTCACAAGTGTCTTGGAGTGGTGTATGTGATGATGAGGAGGAGGAGGAAAGGGCCGCGTGAAAGGGACTCTATAGCGCGCTTGTATCTAACTTGTTTCAATGAGGATAGTTGGAGATTGCGTATGAGTAACAATCAAGTCGGGGTGTTGGGATGATGATGAAGTGAGGAAGGAGTGGTATGAGCTGCTGAGAAATATATTTTTTCTGTTGGTGCTTCCTTCCTATTTTATGGAAGTTAGCGGACGGCCTGATAGAATTAAAGGAGATATGGATGTAACGATGACTCCGGAAGGGCTTTCAGACGTTCGGGAGGTAGTAGTGGGGTTCCGTTGCTACCACACTGTATCGGGGGTCCATCTAGCTTCGAGAAATAACGTTATCTAGGGTTTGATAACAATGGGGAAAGTGTAGTGATATTTATCTGGGAAACTGATGGAAGATTGTGTTCCTGATCATGTGGAAATTTACAAATGAGTTTGGTGTCTGCGTACTATATCGAGAAAAAATGAATACATATTCGCACGGTACGGTGATGAGAAGTTATCGTATAATATCTAGTGGCGTGGTGACGAACTGCTTGGGAGTGAAAATTGAGAATTTTCCCGGAATTGCTGTTAACAGTCGGACCTTATGAATTCAGATTTTGTAAATTCTCCATCGTTCGTTTAAATTCATTTTCTTTAATATATGTATTTCCAATCTATCGCTGGCAGTAGACGGCTTGTAGGCTGTCGATGTTAATGCGTGTCTGACTGTTTTGCATATTTCAGTCTCGTGTGGGGATATGCTATGATTTTGCGCGGAATCAATGGGTCGCTCGTTATGGTGTTACAATTGAGACCTTCCCTCTCAACCCGGGACCACTGGATTCTAAGATGCCGAAGTTTGAAGCGGTAGTATTGGGGTAATTTGGGCGAAGTGACGGAATTGTCATGTGGAGAGCTTGAGCTATACCGAATGGGAGGTGTATAGACGATTGCAAGAGTGGATAGTTTGTTGTGAAGTTGTGGTATTACTCCTTGTAGCGGCAATTTCGTGGCGCGGTGACGCTTAGTGATAGTCTTGAAAGTGCTGAATGCTGTTGTGATTCAGGCATTTAGAATGGCTACTCAGTGGTTCGACAAACAATGTGAGATGCATAGGAGTCGAGCTGTGTTGTTGGATGGAGAAGGGACGAAGGAACGAGGTAATGTATAGGGACAACGCGGAGGGGTCAGTTAAGGTGCTACGAAGCCTAAGCGGTTTTTTGCTGGAAAATCGAACCGGTGTAGTATTTGAGCGCTGGAATGATATTAGTATTTGAACTCGATATTGATAGTCGCAGTTGACTTTATGTATTGTATCTATTATTACTGCGATACACTGCGTATTCATACACTGTGTGAACGGCATTTATAGATCTCGTGTATAAAACACGAGATGTATAAATGCCCAAGTGTATGATGATATTATATGGCATAATCAACTATTATACGCTGAAAAATTCAACCGAATTTGAAGCTAAAATGCTGACATGTTTTTCCACGACTAGACTGTGCGTAGGGTCTTTGGAGAGGCGGCCGAATAGCATTGCGGGGGAGCATCAACCTAAGAAGAAGGCCAAGGCTGGTGTAGAGAAGGAGCAGCCTCGACGTGAGAACCGACTAGAAACGGCAGTTGAAGGGCCTGGGGAGGAGGTAGTAATATGGGAGTGGTTCAAGGGCTGTAGCGGAGAGTTATTTTGTTGAGAGTAAAATGTTTAGTGTAGTTTACAGATTGAACTTTTGAGAATGGGAAAATAGTCTGGAATTCAATCTCTATAATGGTGTTTTGATAATACTGTATTATGATGTTGTTGATATTTTGTATTTATCCACAGAGTATTTGGTTTCTGTTTCCGCTCAGAGTCCTCTGGTCCTCGACAGCGTCACCAACGTACACGACTATCGCAATGATGGAGTCGACGAGGAGTACTTGGTAACTGGCAAGAGCCGAGGTCAACTGCATAAGAAGGTGTGGATCAAAATATCACAGTGCTCGGCTAAGAAGGATGAGGACATGTTACGGTAAGAACTCCGTGAATAGACTCCTTCGTTATAGTTGATAGTTTGGAGAATTCCAGAGAGGAAATGTAGTGAAATTTTGGAATAGCGGTTGGATACACCTAAGTTTGTGAGATAGGGAAGCAAAAGAAACGAAACCGATGCTGCATCTCAAACGTTGACTATACAAACCATCGATGCTAGTGTTCAGCGTGATGGGATCCCGGTCAGTGTGTAAGACAATATATGTATACAGTATATATAGAGTATACAGTCTAGTGTACTCGTATAGTATTGTATGGAGTACAATATAGCAGTCGAGCTCGGGCATACAATGTTGTATACATAGAGTATATAATACAATAGATCTACGAGTACACTTGTATGTCTACTGTTGTTATTTGGTATTCATACGGCATCATTCAGTGTTAGCAATAGTGAGTGTTTATCATTGTGGTATTTGTTATCGATGACATGTTCTGATTACTCGCTGCTTGCTGGTCTGACGAAGTGGGGAGGTGCTGTTTGGTAGAGCATTCCGAGATAAGCGCCTGGGTGATGACGATGATGGAAGCGATTCGGAGTCTGTGTATGAGTTGGAGTGCATCGAAGGATATAAGAAGTCGGGCAAGAGTAGGGGGGAGGTATCGGGTTCGAACCCTGGCGACGGCATCTTTTCTAGAGGAGGAGTTTTACGTCAAGTGGCGAGGGTATAGCTCGGCAGAGAACACCTGGGAGCCGCTGAGGAACCTCACAGGGGTTAGTACGGAAGAAATAGAGTAAGGTGTGGGAATTGAACCTGGGTCTTTGCTATGGAAGTCATGAACTTGTTCAGGGAGGCTAGGCAGAAGTTCGGTGGGAAGAAGGCGACGGCGAAACGTGGAACGAAAAAAAGTGGAAAGGATGCGCATCTGAGTGACTCGAATTCACGTGAGGTTACTGAGGTTAGGAGGAATACGTGTCGTTACAACATTTTAGTAGAGAACTATGTGACGATTGAGAGCATGTCTTTTCGTGCCTCTCCAGGATGTATTTTGTAGGGTTTTGTGTGTAGATGTGGGGAGCGAGCGGGGAGAGGCGGGGGAGAGCTCGAGAGATGGCGAGGAGTCCGCGGTCGCTTGGTGAGACCATTTTGTGGCGCAGTGACGGTTTCTGATGGAGTATTTTCAGATTTTACATTTTTCCCATTGAAGCTCTGAGTATCATATTGTAGTAGAGAATTGTGGTGGAGTGGTTTTAGTGCAAGATTGGAGTTATTGAAGCTTGGTCGGTCTAATGCTGATCCTTTGGGGAACAGATTAATTTTGCTAAGAAAAGCTGTTGTGTTATTATTTAGCATTCGAGTCAAAGGGAAAATCCGCTATACTGTGCGGAGGGGCCGTATTCAGTATCTTGCATATGACCAGCAGCAAACGGAATCATCGTTGGCAACTTCTCATCTCCTTCGTGATCTCGTTGGTATCATCTAGAGTCTGTCTGGTTCGAGCAGCGATCGCCTCCAACACGGCGTGTGAGTGCATCTCTAGTTGCGGTGCCGGTCTTCTATCTGCGGCTAAGGCTTGGTGAGGAAAGGAGAGGTGGTTATTGATGCTTAGTTGAGCCTGTTGTGGTAGGTGTTATGTTGATTCGAAGGGATGTGGTGTTGGTACATGTAGTTGCTTTGGCGCCTCTGAGAAGCTGTACGACTATTGTGATGACAGTCTTGGTATCATCCGAAAAGAACGCGAAAAAACTCGAAGGGAAGTAGAGGATCTCAGAAGCAAACTGGATGAGCTGCGGAGTCGGCTTAATCTCGACGACTCGACTGAGCTTGCTCAAAAGGCTGTTCTTGAGGAGAAGGAGGTCCAGCGGGAGGAGCTCGAGACTGTTATATCGTCACAGAAAGGTGTCGTTGGTGTGGTATCATGGTATTCCCTTTGGTGTGCCGTGGCGGTGACGATTTTATTCTCTTTCCTCGCCTTATCATTTTGCCTCTATAAGGCGTTTCTGTTGAGAAAACGAGTGCAGTCTGGGGTTTCGACGAGTCCTGTAACGGAGGCCCTGTTGGGCCCAAGTGAGCAGACTGTAGGGAAGGAGGTTGGGACACCCTCGACAGAGGCAAGTCCGGGGAGATGTGCCCAAGTAGACTAGCGTTCTCCTATCGTCAACTATGGTTATCATCGCGGCTTCTTTTCAGACCCCTTCTGAGGTGTTCCCTCTGCATAAGACCTCCTCCCCGTCCCTAGGCAGGCTTGACCATCGCTCGCCGTTGGTGGCCTCAGCAGGAACTGGCACTTCCGGACCAACACGTAAGGGTGGACCTTTCATACTACTTGAGGGGAACGATAATGAAGTCAATCTGAGAAAGTTTAGTAAATTTATTGTGTTGGTGAAACGCTTGAATAGTGGCTATTGCGAAATGACTTTTTCAGTCTATTCAGATGACCATTGTAGTGGTGAGGATGCGTCTCGACTACCATCCCAGAAAGAATCTCGGGAGGGTATAGCGACTTCGAGACTTGGCCCGTCGTTGCCACAGCAGCGAATGAAATTCCACAAAACAGTAGATGATCATCATCATCGTCATGGTAGCGTTCCCAGGGAGCATTCACCACCTGACCAGGGTAAGGCTCGGGCTCACCGCAACATGATCGTGCTGAACTCAGGCGTACTATGATCCCTCCTCGAGTGACAAGAAAGGATTGGAGAACACCCCCTTAGCGT